GCGGGCAGGCTTTAGTGAGTGGCACCCGCAGTTCACCAAGCGACAGTACCTAGGTTCCACCTCTCAATCCTTTGGCGCGATCACGTCTCCGTCGGTCCACCATGAAACTACGGCCGTCGTTCCTTGTTCGAGAACTGCGAGTCTCTCGACCGACTGCGCAATTATTTCCTTCGTCGGCTTTTCGTCGCTGCACTGGCGTTACTAATTCGTTGATCACGTCTTCCAATTTCGTCCATCGATTCTTCGGTGCCGTAGCATGAAATATTATTTTGTCTAAGAGGCCTTCAATAATATTCTTACAAAACAGTATTATCATCGTTGGGAAGCTCGGACATGTTATGTCATTAGTTTCTATGTAATAAAATGAGCGCGAGGAGATAGTATAGGTTTGTTTGTATCAAAATCGCTAATGAATTGAAATACTATTCAACAACAAGAGAAAATCTGCTTGCGACATGCAATATTTTTATTACTAGCAACCCAATATGTTCTATACTTATCGGCTTTTAAACCCATTTGTTGTTTATCTTTCGTTTTAGTTTAATGAAAATTTTCTACTACCGTGCCCGTTTTATATACAGTAATTCTTTTTGAAATATAATATTGTATCTCTTTCGATTTAATTTCATCAAATTTAACGTACTGCTTTTTCTTAACAGAAATTTGATGATCAATATTATTTTATATTTTACAACGACCATTAGTACTTATTATTATCATGGTTATTGTTTGCTTGTATAATTTAAATATTAAGCTGCTGTGTATATTACCTAAGTGTAATATTTTTACAACCAATATGGTCATGGTCAAAATCATTTTTTCTTTACATATTAAAATGAGAGTTATTTTGTTAAATGTATTTTATGATGGTTGATGATAACTGTATGGTCATATTACTGACATGAAAATCAGTATAGCCATTTGAAACAACACCATGATATCTAAAGTTGTATTTATTGGGTAAATATATATTATCTCAAAATTTTATATTTATTAATATTTAAATTAATATATGCTGATATTACTAATACACAAAAATAAATTACCCCGGAGTCTTGTTATCTCAGCTCGTCTCTATAAGTTATTTTAGATAGACACTAGGTATCCGTTAGCCTTATTATTAGTCTTATTAATAATATATATAAAAGTATACGGTAAAGTATTGTTAATCCTAAAATGAAGGCGGTGGTAAACTCTCCCGGGTTAATATTATGTTTACTAGTAAATGTGTAAACTCTCACTGAGTCATTATAGTGCTTACCTGTAGAAGTATATAGCTCTCCAGTTGTTTAAATGAATTTCAAACTGAATCATACGATTAAATTAAAGTTAGCAAAATTAAATAAATCAGAATAAAAATATTTATAAAGAAATAAGAAAAATATATCCCAAAAATATGGTGATTAAAGAAAAATAGATTATAACTTTTAAAATCTGAATATGTTTTATTATCAAAATAATGATTTTAACATATTAACGATATATTTTGTATTTGTATATATTATTATTATTATTATTAGCTTTTTAAAAGAAACTCAGATTATATTAAATTTATTTTATGATTTTACTAGAGCCAGGAGAGATTTTACATTTAGAAGAAGTAGAGAATAATCCTGAAGTAATACACCTTTCGTTAGGTAAGTACTGGAGTAGACAGAGAGTGTGCCATAGGGAGAGTTTACATCGCACCTAAAATTATTGAGAGAAAGATCATTCGGATGTAAGATTTTTCGAGATTACTTTGACGAATAATAAATACATTTTCTTAAAATTTACACTTACAGAAAAGTCTATACTTAAAAATTGTACACAAAATGTAATAAATATAGTATTACGACAATCATTTCCATTTTATCTATAATCATTTTTGGATCAGTATACCTTTTGAAATGTACAATTTATTTTTAACAGTTAATTTATTTTTAACGTTTGTAGATTTCTCTAAATAAGGAAATTGAAATGAGTAGTTTTCTAATAACGTCGGCGATTTGCAGCGGCTTGGAGAAGCTTTAAGCAGATTTTTCGCCAAGGAGATTTTCAATCCTCTCGTAGTCGAATAGTATTGTAATTCATTACTGATTCTGATTCCAAACAAAACTCTACCATCTCCCAACTGTAGTAATAAGTGATAGCGGCTACATCTGTTATTACTATTATTATTATTATTATTATTAATATATTATTATTATTATTCTTTTGTAATTAAGTTAATATAATTAATTATATTTATAACGATGCTCCGTGGCGTGCGCGTCATGACGTCGTCTTTCTTCCGTTGTATCATTGATTAAATATAAAATAAATCAATAATGTTCCTTAGTGTGCTTGAGTTGCTTTTGAATAATTATTATTTGAAAATAATATGATTAGCCATTCGGTTTAGCATTGATTAAATATATATGTAATATTCTGTGGATTTATTAAATAACAATATTCAATTTAATTTATATGCTTGGAATTCTTCTTATCGCGGTTTATTTTTATTCTACTGGTTTGTGTATTGTGTACAATTTAGTTTTTACCAATGCTTTCTATAGTCACATAATCCGTACCAATTAACGGGTTTCCATATTGCGTATAGCTATGGGCCATCTATGTATATTTAATCAATGGTTGTATTATAATATTGCACTTATAGCAGTTCGCAATTTCATTTTTTTGTATTAGTCTATAATATATTCGAATTGTATTGTATGTTATTGAATTTATTTTATCTTGACGAGTGTTATGCTCAGTAATTGTGTTGTTAGCGCCCTACACAACGCACATTATATTTTCAATAGAATTTTAACAATTTACTGACCATGTCCGAACTTACCAATGATATTGATGATATTTGTAAGCACATTATTGAAGACCTCATAGATAACATATTAAATACTACTTCAACCGAAGAATCCATGGACCTAATTGTCGAAGACTTATTAACGCTTGTGTGCAGCGACGAAGATCCGTTATCCAACGGAGAAGAGCCGTTGAAAATAATCATTGCGCAGTCGGTCGAGATACCTATTCTCGAACAAGGAACGACTGCCGTAATTTGCGGTGGCGTACCGGAGGGTGACGTAATCGCGGAAGATGTGAAGCTGGCCAAAGAAACCTAAACAAAAGGTACAGAATTTGTTTGGTGAGCTGGTCAGCTGTCTTAAATCGGGTGTCACCATACTGAAACCCGCTCCTCGCCGTTCGTGTTGGCAGAGGCTTGGACAGGACGACGGCGGCAAAAGGATATGAGCGATACGAGAAAGAACACGGGCGGTGCCCGGCGGTAAGCCACCCACAAGCACCTTTTCCGGACACTCTAGGCGCGACGGGCTCGCGGGCGTCGAATATTTGGTAGCTGACGCGATTGACACTAGCGGCTCGGTGGACGTCCGGTTTCTTTGGTCGTGTTAAAGACGGATGACGACAGCGACACGGCAGTTAGTCGCAGTACCGGCGCGGGCAGCGATTCCACCTCGACCGTAGTAGGTATCGACGACGTGGCGATGGCGGCGGAGACTTTGTCAAGGGGTAAGTGGGCGATATGAGTAATGCGGACGTTAGCGCCGCTGTAGGACTCGCGGGAACTTGTGGTTCCTGCATGATCAGGCGGCCCGCGATTCCGGCTACCACTGGATGCGGCAGACTTGGCTGCCGACCAGATGTCGGGACGAAATCTATGGAGAGTACGCTCTGACTCTTTTTTTCGTCCCTCGGCGATCCCGTCGGTCGAGTCGCGCCTTCCGGTTGTCTCGCCGATTCTGCGGCATCATATCTCGCCGTTTTCCCCGTGCGTTTCGGTTTCCGCTATCCGACGTCAGAGTCGTCTCGTCTGCGCCGTCCACGCGCACTAGCCGCTCGCCGTTGACCGTCGCTCCCGCGGCCGAAGCCGTCGGACTTCGCCCGTCGATCAAACAAACCAGTGACACTCGTCTGCGCCTGAGGGACAGTCCGTGAAAACGTTGCTGAGGGTGACCACCCACTGTGCAATTTATGTTCTTCAACATTCTTAAAATGTTAACTTTAAGTCACATTAAAAACATAATTGTAAACACGTTTAATGTACGTAATATATTTGTTAAAAACAAACAATTATATTTATTACAATAAATAAACATTCATAAAATGTGTGTATTCCTATTTATAAATACATTAATATTATGTTATTTTAATGTTTATAGTAAAACACGTCACATAATAGTTATTATTGTTTATGCACCGATAATCGATATTGATTTTATTTTTAATTTATAAGCCAATATTATATAAAAATAGTTACAATAATAATTAATATAATATATAATATTATATATAGAAAGATAAACAATAGTTGTTTTGCTATAACGTGGTGAATACTCAGAAACATGGTTATATAACCTTTGTTATTTTATGAATATCTGGAGATCGTTTATCCTACGAGTACAACGTTCAACAGCCATAACACGTATCGACTTATACCGATTACCGAAAAGTCAATTGTAAATATTGTCATTCGTATCGTCGTCACTCAGCGATTCATACGATCTACACCGTGTTTTTTTTTCGTGTTCAGTTTACATTTTTGTTTTTTACCTAACAGTGTCTTGAATTTTATTGAATATTTTGTGTTTCCGATTATTAACAGTGTCACATTCGTCAGGCATCACTCATCACAGTATAATTAATAATATTCCATGGACCATGGCTACTAGAAAGGTAAGACTCATTGTTTTGTACCAAAATTAATATCACTACGACTTATGAGTATAAAATAGAAAGTACCTACGACTTTTGGTCCTCATTCTTATGTTAGGTTTCCAATATTTTGTACTTTTGTAGTTTCTGTACTATGACAAGTGATAAAATAAATTTGCATTGGCCAATTGGTTGTGCTTCAAATGTAACATATTTCAATATGATTTCATGTACAACAATGATGAATGTGATTATTATTAAAATAGAATTTTTCCTGAAATTTTTAATTAAAACCTTCTGAAAAGCATTCCATTTGAAAAAGATAATCACTATTACTAATATAATTTATAGATAGTTACCTACATGGCTATGTTCATATTATTTTTATAATAATTAAGTTATTCCTTAAATAATGGCATACTACCTATTTAACTAACTTTATTTAACTAACTTTACTCTTTTTAATATTTAAGAGTACCTAGGTACCTAAATGACTAAATACTTAAATTAATACAAAAATTTTATTGTGTACCAATAGACAACAATCTATAGTTGTTGATTCAACTTTTCTCAACATTGGTAGATACTTAATTATTTTTTTTCCATTTTAGAATAAAGTAAATTAGGTTATTGTGATATTTTTGGACTCCAAAGATTACAGTGTAGTGCCAACAAAGTGGCTTGTCCAAAATGATTCAAATAATCTATCGAATAGTACAGTACAGTTTTGTTGTTGGCCACTTGGTAGAGTAACAAGCTCAGAAATTAAAAATGCTTTGGATCCAGAACCTACTTGGTTGAAATATGCAATAAAAGTTATCGGTGGTAATAAAACATATGGTATGTAAAATAAATTATTTTGTAGTTTATATTTATTACTCTTAGCTTTCAAAATATTGTAGTTAATAGCCAGTGTGTAATATTTAAAAAATTGTATTTAGTACATTTATTTTACATATATTCCTAAATTACTAGATTTCTATTGTTGTCGAGATTTTTGTCATTTTTATAATTTAAAGTTTACTTATAATTTAGGTAATTTCAAGCTAGCCTGGCATACTAGAGTTGAAAAAGAGTCAGAAAGTGAAGAGGTTCAAATTATGCCAAAACGTAAACGTACAATAATTGATGTATCAGATAATAATAGTGATGAAGGTAATTATCTAAATGTGCATTTTTAATTAATTGTGTTTTATTGCATATTTCTATATTATTTAGTATTGAGTAAATACATGATACTATAATACTATAATTGATGAATGATGACCATATAGTATAATCTACAACACTAAATCATGTTTGAAATTATTAAATTTAGATCTTGGATACTGTATAACTCCTGCATCTAGTTCTGCATCAAAGTTACCCAGTAATGAACATAATACCTATTATACAGAACTACAATCAGTTGTACATTCACAGAAATAATCACCAATGACCGAAACATACCATTCATTAACAGATGAAATGAATAACCCATCAACTTCAGCATATCAACCATATGATCATTCAGTTTACCAACCTCCTACTCAAAATCTACAAGTAATTTTTAAATTTTTTATCATATAAGTGTATTTTACACATCTCATACAGAAAATTTATTAATTAATTAAAATACATACCTCTTCTTTAACATAAACCAAATTATAATTATATTTTAAATTCATACAGTCTATAAATACACAAAATACACAACAGCAACAGCTATCAAATAACACTCTTAATACTACTTATGGTAACTTTACATCAACTTAAATTTAATTTAATGTTAAAAAATAATAATTTTAATACTTTTATTTGTATTATGGTTGGATTAGGTTTTAAAGAAGATAGATTAGAGAAACTTAAAATTATTATCTTACAAGGACAAACTGCAACAGATCTGATGTTAAATCGCATATTAGCTAAAATTGAACTAATAGAAGCCAATTTAAAAAATACATCTCAAAATATTAATCCAACTGTATACATTGATCCTAATTTTTTGGGTTATTTTCCTCTAAAAAATTCTGAGGAATTATTAGTAATAGAGAACCTTATAAACAATGAAACTGAATTTGTTCTCAAACTGGTAATACAAAAACTTTTTAAATCAAATAATTTTAGTTTAATTCTTAAATTTATTTTCAAGGAATCATTTATAAAGAGTATAGGCGGAAATTGTGCTGCAAATCATGTAAAAAGAGTCATGAGTAAATTGTTTACTGATGAGTACTGTGTACATATTTCATGGACTGGTCGTGGATGGGTGAAAGATATGACTAAGTTAAAAGAAACTAAACTTATTAAAATAGTGAAAAGTAATAATAAATTAACAATTTACAATAACAATGTTTAAATTTCTATACAAATAATATACCTTCCTAAACTCAAAATATATCTATATTTTTAAATGCAAATGTTTATTATTTTATTTTTTACTCTTTATTAATAATATTACATCTAAATTAACTAAATTTATATTGAGAAACTAATTTTTATGTAGAGGTATATAATTTGATAAACATTGTTATTGTGTATCTGATATTAATTTATTAGTTATAAACTTATAAGTTAAATATTTCTTCTTAATTATTAGAGGTCATCCAAGAATGTTCTTCGACTCTTTTTAATGATTCGCAGTTTGAAAAAGAAATAACCGAACAATTAAGGACTGCAAATACAAGATTCAAAAGTTTTCAAATTAGAAATAACAAATTACAATAATACCATAAGTAGTTCTAAAATCGAATTAACTGATTTTTTTTTTTATATTATATTTTCTATTAAGCCTCAGATATTAATTTTTGCTCAGTATTTTTATATATTTCAATAAAAGTTATTTTTATTTAAATTTTACTTACATTATTTTGATGATCAAATGCATTATATGTGTATTTATTCTTAAGCAAAACAAGAAATTAAATATTGATTTAGGTAGTAAACCATTTTATAATTCTTAAAATTTTAAATCTAGCTTAATATTTTCTCATGACTGTAATGAATATACTTAATTATTAAAATGTGTTACAGATGTATACAAATTGAATTTTTCTTTTCACTAAGCTGATTTGTTATATAAATGTTTTATGACCCAAAAAGATTTGTAGAGCCAATTTTAAATCAATTTAAAGTATTTATTTAAACAATACGATTTGATGTGTTTCCAGGCTAATGTCGAATAATTAATATCTTTCGTTCTAGAAGAATTAAAATCACAGCGGAAAATAATGTTACGCTCAAAACAACGTACTCGAAACAGTGTGACGCCTAATAGATCTATAAACCGCTTCAAGAGACTAACTAAAGCACCATCTATAAATGATAAGATTACCATTAATAATGATAATATATATTATATATGAATACAATATTAACCTTGAGAATCAATGTAATTTCCTGAAAACTGAAATGTTACTAATATGTTATCCTACAATTTGATCAAACTTAATATCATGATGAGTAATTTTAATACTCGTTTAATTGGATACTGATATTCAAATTTCTTCATAATGGTGCAACTCACTTATAACTATGAAGAGAATGAAAGTACAAAGATATTCGAACATTTAATGAATACTCCTAAATCTAAATGATCTTCTTATCAAATGTTCTTATATAATGGTTAAGTTCATTAATGTTGTTCTTTAAAATAAGTATTTTATTAAATATCAACAGTGATAATATTTTAAAATAATTGAATTAACATTACGGTCTGCCAATAGCTAAAAGTAGTGAGTCAATAATTATATCTATAATTGGTTTTGTTTTTAAATTTCAAAGAATTACCCACAATGCTCTAATCAGAGTATTCATATAAAGTAAAACACAACTAATCTAATAATTTTTAAACCATTATTACTGATTCTAGACTATTCAATTAAGGTTTAAATGTAAATGAACTTAATAACTCCACAAATTCTAATATATAGCTGTGATGCCTTCAAGAGTTTTACTAACTGCCAAAACTAAATTTATATTTTGATGTACTTATGTATTCAGAGGTGATTATATAGAACATCGTGTAGTTAGTTTGATTAGACAAATGTTCATTAAGAACAAACGAAACTTTTAGAAATCAGTAATGAGAGTACTAAAGGTGATTCCCTTATTAAAGTTACCCATAAACATAATCTAAATATAATAATTTAGACTACATGCATTAATATGTTTAGGTGTTAATAAACGCTTAATTGAATTTTAAAGAGGAAAGAGATATAAGATTGTGACAGACAAGTGGTGAAGGTATTAATAACCATTTGAAATGTTATGTCATATTACAAAGCCATCAGAGTTCTAGCTCATTGCCATGTAATACTGATGATGTAGAATACCGGAAGGCTATTGAATTGATATAGTTTTTGTTTTATATAATAGAGCAATTATTTAAAAGGCAACAGCAGAATTATACAAACATTTTTATTATTAGTTTTTGTCAAGAATTTGAAGCCTAGAAACCATAATAAATATATAATTTAAAAATTGAATTTACTGCAGTTTGCATCAGGTTATGGCTTAATATAGGTCATCATATTTCTCCAAGTTATAATGTTCATAGCTCACCACCTACCATTTTTACTATTACGGGCTACTTATTAACTTCAGTTCATTCAGGTAGAGAATTCATTTTACAATATATTAAAATCTATAGTCAATAATATTCTGCAAGAAATTTATAATCGATTGTTATGTTATTAATAATTTAAATTAACTTCACTTTTATCACTTTCTAGTTTTGTTATTTCACACCTGTGTTGCAATTTAGATAATTTTAACTTAATTGCCTTATTTGATAAAATATCAACTTTGATTTTCAAAATGGCAATACTCATTTTGATAAATGAAAATCTATAAACATACTGAAAAATAATTTTAACGTTTATAGAATTTAATTAGAGTAATCTGTTTGCGACTATTAATGCTTAAATATTCATTCAATTTATTGCCTACTGAGCAATTTTATAAGCTCAACAATAGAGACCAGAAGTCAAAACGAAATTTATCTTAATTTAACAATACCTACTCAAAAGTTATAACGGTCATAATCGATAATAACTAATAATATGATGATAGACACTTTTCTATAGTATTGCTTATCTATCTGGATATTAACGATTAAGACAGCAATACGTAACTGAACCGAAGCATCA